AGCCCACTTGCTGAATGGTTCGGAGGGTGTGGGTGAGGAGTGATGTCAAATGGGAGCATAGGCTAGTGAGGTAGACGGGGATAAATGAGGGCTGTGACAAGGGAGGACATCCAGGGAAGGACCCAAACCTCCAGCCTGAAGGGATGCACCTTGTTACATCTCCCCTCACAGCTGGCTTTCTGGCCTCCAAAAGCAGGGGCTTGGGATAGCCACAAGCAATTCTTGTTTTTATAGGCCCGTGGAGAGGCGGCTGTCATAGTGCATTTAAGGTAAAGGCTATGGTCCCCCAGCTCCAGCTCTCGTAAGTCACTATTATCGTTCCACTTTGTGCTAATCCCAGGATGTGCATATACTCCCCCAGCTCCTCTGCTATTTTCAGTGAGGTTTGTTTTTCTAAAATCAGAGGAATGAAAAACATTGCAAAGAATGTCAATAGAGTTCATTGATTAGTCCTGCATGAAAGAACATGAGTTCAGGAGAAAGAGAGAAACCCAGTCCAACATTAGCTGGAAGGCACCCTCCTGCAGCCCGAGATGCCTGGTGATTCTTACTCTAGTCTCTCAGAGCATGACGCTGCATGATCTTAGGGGAGTGAGGCGACACTGGAGCGCTCCCGCGGATTAAAGAACAACATGCCTTCTGCTAGGTTTGCTCTTGAGCTGCACAACTGATGTGCCCTCGCCAAGGAGGCAGATGGGGTGTTCCCTTTCTCCTGGACCCAGGGTGGGGGACTCTCGTGCCAGAGAGAGCACAGAGGAACACTTAACCCAAAGCTTCATAGCACTCTGGGTGTGGACCACCAACCAGGAGACCTGGACGTCCACATTGGACAGGATGGTTTTTAAGTGGGGAGAAAACAAAGATGCCAACAGGAAGGAAACTGGGCAGGGAGGCATTTGTGCACTGGAAGTACAGGAGGCCATGAATGGTTACCTTCTTGCCTCAGTCACTTGCCCAGATACAATGGCCAGGGTCTGAGAGTAGTCATACAAGTCAAGATCCTGGCATTTCCTGGAGACTTCTCCCAAGCCTGCATCCCAGGGCGGTGTGCTGACCATGAGCCACCTCGGGTTGTGATGTTCCTCAGGCAGGTCGGCTCTGAGAATAATTGAGCTAATGGTTGTGGTTATTCTTTCTCAAGAAAAGCGGTCTGGTGGACAGAAATCACAGACATCCTGACTGATCTGGAGATTTAAGGGAAGTCACTTGGGAGCCGGGCGGTGGATGGGTCTAGGCCAGAACCCACACACCTTGCACCTCAGACACCACGAGAGAGCATGGGCAGGAACCAAGGAGCAAGAGGCTGATGTGAACACTGATTTTATGCTAAGCCTCCACTTAGCCAGATAAGTAATGGCAAAAACCTTAAGTTATGAACACTGCCTCCAATTAACAAAAAGAAGCCATTTAAAATGGTATAATGGAGCTTGTAATTAAGTGTTAGTGTTTTGTATGGAACTGTTTTCCCCAGGGGAGAGGTACAAATCAGCTTTTTAAACTGATGGAGCGTAAAGAGGAGGAGGTCAGCTGCCTGTGGGAGCCACTGCTTGGAACGCCAGCCAGCTGAAGGTGAAACCCCACGGAGAAGATGCTGTTCAAGGCACTTGAATATTGCTTATCAAGATGAAAGATCAACCCTTAGACTCAAAATGAGGGGCGCAATGAGGAGGGAGGGACACTTCCTGTGCTGACAGGTTTCTGTTATTTAGTGGCAGCTCTTAGAAGTATTACAGAAGGTGATAGCTTAAACACAAAAGAGAATAGGGTTGGGATCGCAATAAAAACAATAAATAAAGAAAAAAATACAAATACAGAACTGCAAGCAAAATTTAACCAACTGATTGTATCAAGCACCCAGATGTAAGTCTGGCAAAAAAGACAGAATGGAAATAAACAATAACCTAGTTAAAAAAACCCCCCACAAAAAAACACAACAAAAATGACTAAATTGCTTGGAAGAGCCAAAGTGGCTGTTTTAGACTGTTACTATTTGGCCACAAGAATGAACAATTTTATAATTTTTCAATTTCTTCAGATTTAATACCTCCATATATAACAGTCATGCCTTTAAAATTAAAACACTACCCTAGTATTTCCTGTTAACTCCCTGCTTTTGATTCTGATGAAAATCAGATATTTAGTGATTCATCACACATGACAAAATTCCCTCAAGGTTTTTGTGGAGAGGACACCACAGTACTGTCAGGGGCTCTGCTACTCACTGTCCTAAGGGTCACTAATGCAAATTCGCTCTTCTTAATGCACCTGAATTGAGCCAGATGTTAATCTGTATCCCCTTAAGCTCCTTCATTCTGAATTCTCTTCTCACTGAACCAGATTTCAAGTTCAGAGATGATGCAACTATCAAAAGACAAACAGCCTGCCTCTTAGCCTCCTAGAGCCTTCTGAAAACTTCTTATTCATGAAAAGGCATTGTCTTTAGTGTAGTGACTCTTAAATTTGTGAAAACTTGAACTAAGTGCTGCAGCTGCAGGTTAAAAGACTGTAAATGAAATATATAATTTCTAAAACATCATGCAAGAAATGTGGTTTCACATCTTACAGTCAAAGTCCTACAAGTTAATTAATACAAGCACACTGAGGTGTAATAGCGGGAGCATACCTCTAAAATTATAACTCCCTCCCACCCCCAAATCAAAAAAAGATAATATTAAACTTAAGAAATAATGAATGCACCATTAAAATGTCATCCAAAGATGTTGACCTAAGACAAAGGTTTCAATGATACACAATACGGTCAAAAAGTTTTCAATCAGTAATATACAGTATGACAACTACATCTTGTAAATTATACCCAATACTGCCGGCAGTCTATCCCTCTAAAGAATATTTGCCCCTTTCATCCCTTCCTAACAATCAGATAATAAAATACAGCACCTATAAATAAGCAAAAAAAAATATATATATATACCGAAATCATCTATTGTTAGTTTAAAGATATGGCAATAAAGGAGTCTAAATTAGCAAACTTGTAGAAGCCATAACTGATAAAACAGCTTATTGAAAAAAGGTGGCAGTAATGCACTCTATGTGTGCACAGGTACTTAAGAAAATACACAGACGTATAAAATTGCACACACGCACACACGCACACTCTCATCCACCTCTATTCTCACGCATATACACATAGACAACAGGAGGAATCAGAGACAAGTTAGACTTTTGATTTGTACTCAGACTGCCCTAAAAGACTAAGTAAAAGACTGCATAAAAGAACGTTCCAAGAGGCAAAATGAATGGAGGGTCATCGGTCTGGTCTGGAAGTGAAGAGCATCGGCGTTTTGGTGTCAGTTTGGGCCATCTCTACGGGGTTGGGAGCAGAGCCCAGATTGCTACGTTCTCTCTTCTGCAGGGAAGGAAGCTTCCCACGACTTCAACAGTCATCAGTGCTTGTGGTGGGAAGAAAGGGAAAGAGAGAGTCCGCGAGAGCCCTGCCCAGGCCCAGGGAGCGGCGTCCCCTGGTGGGGCTCAGTCCATCAGGCGCCTGGGAGAGTGGTGTGAGGTGTGGTGCCTTCTGTGCCAAGGAAAGACTGCTGTCTACGAGGGGCGGGCCGTCTGGCCCCAGAACTGTTTGCTCCGACCTGAGCGGCCTACTCTTTCCTCCTTTCTTCAAATGCTCACCTGTGTGCAGACGCACTAACACAGACGTAGACACCATAAATTAAACGAAATGAACGGGTACATGCTACAGTTCTAACTTGTCTCCTAAACCTCCGAGATATGAGGTCTGATCAGCGTGCTCTGCGGTTAGAGGTTAAAAAGCAGATTATAAAATACCTAGATTCGGATCTTTTCTTTTTGTCCTGATTTGGCCTAGAATGGAGTGTATTAAACAGACCCTGGTCAGCAAAAGCCCAGAGTCAGTTAAAGCTATGGATCAATGTGCACTACATGTCAGGATTCTATTCACGTACAAGAAAACACTACATCAGCTACCACAAAATCAGTTATTTTCCTGATGTGACTTTTCTTTTTGTTAAAAAATATGTGGAGTAAATGTGTTTTATTTTAATTCAAAGTTTCAAACGAGAAGATTCTTTACTTGAAAATATTTAGGAATCCAAACTAGTGTGTTTAGAGTCGGTTTGACTGTGCAATCTCTTAGTGGCAACTGAACAGCTACAAAAACTTTCTTTTTTAATTTTTCTGAAAAATCCCCCCTCCCCCTTTCCTGGTTTAAGAAGATAATAGTGTATTATCGCTCTGAAGCCATTAGATGGCAGATAAAAAGCCCCCTTTTAATATGTGGGTTTGATTTTTTTTTTAAAGCCCACACGAAAGAGGAGGGCGCAAGGCAAAGCTGTAAGAGTTATTCCAGAACCTGTGGAAATCACTTAGGGCAATAAAAAAAACACTTCAGGGTACAAAAAAGCTCGACTACACATTTCCGTTTTCTTCCTCGAAAACACACAAAGATTGGGCTTAATGCTCCTTTGTTTTCTATATGCACCTTGGCCTATGGCGATTTTGCCCTGTGGCCCGCAGGGCAGTAAGTGCGCAACACGGTCCGGGCCGCGGAGTCGGGGCGCCCCAGCGCCCCCGCTCGGCTCCCATCCCGGCCGGGCGGGCGCGGGCGGCGGGCGGCGCCTCAGAACTCCCATTCGATGGGCTCCTCGCGGCTGGCGGCCTTCTCCAGGCGTTAGATTATGCTAGTACAAGTTCGCGGATTTCTTCTTCCTCAAGGTCCTGTCGCGTGAGTCCCGGGCGCGGCGTCTCGGAGCAGG